TAATCATTTTCGGCCTTTCGGCATTCGGTTTTCGGCCAACTGTTTCCTATTTTCGGTATCGGTTTCGGCCAAGAATTTCCCATTCGGTGCACCCCTAGTTATTATTGCTGGCAAACAAGCCCAGGGGTCTCACTGATATTTCAGTTATATCAATATGTGTACAGTGGTCCTAATTTGTTTTAATTGTATCCTGGTTTTAAACTGTGTTAATATGTTTTGGATGCATATTGGTATTTCTTCAGGCTGTTAAATACAATTAACCTCTGTTGCCACCTGCTGGTGAGTAAATATTAAAATCAGCTAAAATGTACAACCGGTCCGCAAATCTTTTTTAATGTCTCTGCCGGTCCTTGGCACAATAAAGGTTGGGAACCCCTGCTCTACAGTACAGGGTAGCTCTGAGTGTTAGCGAGGCTTGCTAATGTATACAGAGACGAGATTACGTCCAAAACACTTCAGGCATTGTTTCTGATAGCAACTTTCTGTGGGTCCGCTGACGATTTGACGTCAGATCGTAAGCAAATCTGTATCCGCTCGTTGTACACCTGTTTTAAAAAGATTTGGGTACGGAGGAAAAGAGAGAGGGTTTTATTTTCTGACGCTGCGTGAGTTCCCCGACGCACCAGGGACACATATTTATGTATAAAAGACATCACAAAGTGCATTTTGCATGATAGGTCCCCTTTAAGTTTTGATACATTTTCAAGCCGTTTCCTTTTTTATAATGGGTGTCTATGGGACGACTCTTCAAATCCTCTTTTACCTACACCGTGTGGAAAATACTATTCCTTCCACATTCTTTCTGCTAGAGACTTCATTAAAATCGTATTCAGATTTTTGATATCTTTTACAATTTTTGAGATATTTAACTTCCTTTGGAGCTTGGTAAAGAGGTATGTATTGCGCAGCTCGTTAAGGCTTGAGTGCTTGATGTCACAGCTAGAGTGGAGGAGAGCTTGAAATTCGCCATCATATTTTTTTTTTAAACCTGCCATAATTCCCAAACCCTACGCTCCTTGGAAATAATTGTTCATGAAAAATGTAGGAAAACCTATCCTACGTTGAAAAATAAAATAAAACATAAAACAAAATGCCTCTTGAGGGCATGAAGAGACAAACATTTGTCAAAAAGTCCACCATGCTCCCAATAGACTCCCATGTTAAATTTTGTCCGGATCTTTCTTCAGACCAGAAAGAAGTACACTTTAAACAAACTGCTCCCATCTCCACATTTTACACACAAAACTCCCCAAAAAAACATATTTCAGTTCATTAGCGTTCGCTGATGCTCACTTTCTGGTCATTTTTTTATAGGAGCCATAGTTTTTGAACAGGTGGCAAAATTGTCAGATATGACCCTCAATGCATTTTTAATCGGACTCAGTGCTGCAGTTGGTTACCATGGTGTTGCTGGGCAGATTGGGGACACTGCATATCTCTACCACACACACACACACACACACACACACACACACACACACACACACACACACACACACAAACACACTGTAGTTTATTTATAAGCAATATAACCCTCATACCACATTCACCATCCTGCTGCCCCTAATAGTCACTAGAACACTACATTTGGATCAATCTTCCACTATTTCCTTTTTTATTTATTGCCTTTTATATTGAGCTTTTTGATCAAATGAAACTATACCTTTCTGTGAGCTGAATGATTAAACAAAAAATAATTACCACAAAGGAGAATAATATAGAGTTTATAAAATTGATTTCGTTTTTTGAAAGTGCACCCTTCTTCATGTAAAGAAAGATCAGAACAGTCTCAGCTTTGTTAGTTCTCAAACATTTTACCTTTTAATATAATCACTGCAGATCTGGAACCTTGCCACCAACAAGCTGACCTTCCTCAACTCCTTCAAGATGAAGATGTCTGTGATCGTGGGCGTCACCCACATGCTGTTTGGAGTGTCTCTCAGTCTCTTCAACCACCTGTAAGTATTACACTCCACAGCAAGGCTGAAGATTGCCATTTGAACTATTAGTCTTACTCAGTTTTCATAGTAAAATCATTATGAGCTAAAGGGTCTGTACTTGATCTGATTGGCCACACTCAAAGGCGTAACACAAAGCCTATGAAAGGGACGTGATGTAATAATCATACTTGAAGATAATGTTGCACACTTCTGGACAGTCTTTTGCAAATTCAAACCCAGGGAAGTCAAACTGTCAAGCAAATGATATAGATACATTAATGAATTTCATTAATGAAGAAAATGTTTCAATATTTAAAAAAGTTAGTAACTGGTGGTTTCCGGTGGACAATGCCAGTGCTTTCTTATTTCCACACGTTTACCAGCTGGGTACAATGTTTATATGAAGAACACAGGAGCCTGGGAACATAGTATATGGGAACATAGTGATATCCTCAGTTACACTATTCAATAAATGCTACAGCACATTTTCAATCGCCGACATAGCGTCTCTATTATCCCATTAGCTTTGTCTGTGTTGTTAACTGATTGACTGTGCTGCAGGTACTTCAAGAAGCCTCTGAACATCTTCCTGGGCTTCATCCCTGAGATCGTCTTCATGGCCAGCCTGTTCGGATACCTCGCCCTGCTGGTGTTCTACAAGTGGACAGCCTACGATGCCTTCACCTCCAAGGACGCGCCCAGCCTGCTCATCCACTTCATCAACATGTGTCTCTTCAACTACAATGACCCCACTAACAAACCCCTCTACAGGGGGCAGGTACTCCCCCCTCATCCTCCCCTCTGCCTTTCCCAGTTTCATGACCTTCCCTAACTAATGTGGTGGCACATTGGTAGAGAGGTGGACATTATATATTTCACCTTTTCTTCTAGTCAGAGTTGTCTCGTTTACAGAACTCAGGGTTCGTACGGGTGCTTGAAATCCTTGAAAATGCTTGAAATTTGACGTGGTGTTTTCAAGGTTGGGAAAGTGCTTGAATTTTGGGAATGGTGCTTGAATTTGGGATAAAGTGCTTGAAAATGTAAATGATTTACTTCGCTTTTTAGATTAAAAGAAAATAAAGAAGTCGGAGCGAGCTTAATTGCTTCGCTTTTACATAAAACAGCTCCACTCCGGCCTTCCCGCGCTCTTCGCGTGACCTGCAAGTGTTTTTGTTAGGTGTGTGACCTGTGCATTCTGATGAGAGTGATAGATGACAGTATGCCAGGAGGTTGCAGTTTCAACAAGCGTTGGCTAGCAGAAGACAAATACAATCCATGGCTAAGACGAGGGTCAAGCCCACAAGTAGCCTCCTGCAAAGTTTGCAAAAAATAACGATGGGAGAGTCGGCACTGACGAGCCACATGAAAGGTACGCTGTAGTAGAGCATTTTAGATTAGGCTAACGTTGCATGTTACGTTTGTTTAAGCTAACGTTAGCAAGCTGAATAGCGAACTCGATGAGGGATAATAATTGCAGGGGACAATCATTTCAGAGGAGCGTACCTAGGTTATGTGCGTTACAGTCGCCATTCTGTGGTGTTCAGAGGATGAAGCACTCACTTGTAATTCAACCCAGTAATTCTCACGGCATTTCGTGTTATAGTCACGAAATATAATCTATTGATTCGACACAGAACGATTTTAAAAGCAATGTATTTCTACTGCTAGTATGTTTCGTGCCTAAACCAAATGTGACTTGCTCTATCGAAATCTGTCACATTGACCCGAAGACACATTTTCGTTTGTATTACTGGCCTGGGGGAAGCTCGCGAGTGTGTGTGTGTTTGTGTATTTTTGCGTTTGTGTGTATTGTGTTCGTGTACCGGGGAAACACTCACAAGAAACACCGGCTGTTGTTACGCTTGCTGTGACGTTAAATTACTCCGTTCTCCGCTTTTAATTATGCCTTTACAAGCTTCAAAGTTGTATTTATCATCGGAATTTTCCGAAACAAGTTTAATATTCTTTTGATCGCATAGGGATGAAACGTATACCAATAGAATCTGTTGAACTCTCAGCTTTTCATATGATATACAGGGCTCGACATTATAAATGGCCCGCTGTCCCGGAAGCACTATTTAGACACCCCGGCAAGCATAACGTAATTTCAATTTGCCACTAAAAAGATATTGCTTAAAAAAAAAAATTGTCCTGTGGTATTGGTATTTTGAAAAGCAATTTTGTTCAATTGTTTCGCTTATTAACACTACAACATAGCGTTTCGTGAGGCGGTTGTCGTTGTTGGGTGAAAAGCAAACAGCTGTTTGCTGCGGAGCGCAGC